ACATGTCGAAATAATTAAGATACTCCATGGTAATCTCTGATTTATAATGAACTGAATTAGTTTTCTTTCTTGTAATTTCACTTTCATCTCCCCTTTTACCTATACTTAAAGAATGGTTCTCTAATCTCTAGGACCTTTGTTTAGACTCTCTAAGACATCATATAAATTCAAGATACCTATCAGAACTCATGTAATAAGAAGACTTCCTGGTGATGCAAGATTGAAGCTAAAGAGAAGGTTGCAAAAGATCAAAAAAAAAAAGAAAAAGACTTCAAAGCATGGACAATGGAGAATCTACAATCATCTTTAGGTAGCTCCTAATTTCAATTAATTAGTTGGTCTTGATCTCATTGAAGTGATGCCATTGGGTAGTGCATTAGCATTTAGGTTAATATTAGTAGACAAGTTATGCATATAGAAGGAATAGTAGTAATTGAGAATGCTAGATTAAGAATGGGGGCGGGCCATGGCTAGCTGTTGGAATGCTCCATAGTGACTTATGTGACCAAGGTTCAAATCTTGAAAACAACTTCTTTGTATGTGTAGTGGTAAGGCTGTGTACATCTATCCCTCCCCAAACCCTACATTGGTTGGGAGCCTTGTGCATTGAGTTGCCCTTTTGTTGTTACTTCAGTGTAGTCAAATTGATTAGAATTTTTGCATATTTTATTTAGTATCCATAGATCAGTATTCTAGTCCATATATTTTTGTCTTCCAATTCATTTTAGCATATTACCCTTTTTATGAAATTCATTTAACTTTTAAAGTAAGTTGATAAATAGCTAATAGTTAGTGTTTTTTAAGAAGCAATTAGTTTTTAGGGTGTATTGTTCTAATTAATTTCTCCTTAAAATTTATAATAGTTAAATACTTTTTTCAATCATTTTATTCTTAAATCTACATTCATTTAGGCTTAGTTTTGGAAAAATGCAAATACAAATATGTACAGTGCAAAACCTTATAATTGGTATTTCTAAACCTTGTATTTGCATTGTAACCAAATTGAGCCTTAGTAGATAAATCACAATAATTAGAATTAGTTTCCTTTGCTTGTTTTATGCTAAGCATTGTTAGATCATCTCCCAACTCTAATTTTTAGATAGGGTCATTCTTGTCAAATTCAATTTCCACTTTAGATTACATGTTTGTTAGAGCCACTTTTTATATTATGTCTCATTATTTTCAGAATTGATTAATTCATCAATGGATTCTTTTTCTCTCTTTGGTTTTTTGTCTTGATTGCTTGTTAACATTTTAACTTGTGCAGTTATTTTCTAAATAAAAACAAAACGAAAACTATTTTAATTTTTAATTTGAGAATTCATCTTTTTTTTTTTAACTCCAAACAAAAATTTTATTGATTTTCAAGAAAAAACCTAGGAGGGGGTTGAGTATGCCAGTACCACAATTTCTAAGGGAGGGAGTTGAGAGTTCAACTAAGTAGAGGCTGGTTTCATATGAGGCATGTATGGGGTGCTAATACCTTTTCACAACATACCTTAACCCCTTGACTAAAATTCCATGATTTACATTGGGTGAGTGACCAAAAACTAGTTTTTTAGTTACACCAACTTTTTCCTCAGTTATTTATTTATTTTGTAAAAATTTAGGTGATTACTATATATATATATATTTATTGCTTATATATAACAAGAAATAATAAGAAAGTAGCTCTGGATTTTGAACACAACTCACCCTACCCTTGAATGCAGAGAGGGTAGGATTGTGTAGGGTCTTGTATTTTCATGTATGAAGAGGGTCTGGATTCTCTAAATCCAACTTGCTACAGGTTTTTGGGGCGAATATGGGTTGGGAGATTTAGGAAAATAGGTAGGTCTAAAATTTACAAAACCTTTCCTAAACTTATCTATGGAAGAAGAAGAAGAAGGAAGAAGGTGGTTTGTGAGAGGTTAAAGCTTATCAATCCAATGATATTATAGTTTATTGTGATTTTACCATAATACCCCCATTTACACGTGAATGAGGTCGCACATGTATTCGGTTTTCTAGATCAGTGCTTGGGAACAATGCCTTTCTCTGTTCTGTGTTCTTGAGAAATGACGGAAACCTTATTTCATAGGAACAGATTTTCCTATTCCACAGGAAAGTCCGGAATGGACTATTAATTTGGCCCAAGGTATACAGCTTTCCCATTTAACTTAATAATAGTCATTTGTACTCCAATGAATTCATATTGCATTAAATCCACGAGATTTAGCCACACCACTCCTGGATATATCCATTATGCTTTCAAACAGTCCCGACAAATTTAGCAGTAATAGTCAAGTGAAAGAATACCATTCTTTTCAGCAAAGGTTTTTAAAACCGAATCGGTCAGGGGTCCTGTTTTCGAGTCAAATGGTTCGGCTCATTCTGACAAATAATTTAAAAAAAATTAAAAAAAATAAAAAACGGTGAAAATTATTGAACGATTCAACCACTCGAGTCAACGATTTATTGACCAAATCAACGTTTTTTTATAAAAATCCAATTTTAAGAAAAAACCAGTTCCCCATTTTTCCATTCCGGTCCAATTTTGAAAACAATTGTTTCAGCATACAATATACCATTCAACACATCAACCTATCCACCAATAACACAAACCCTTTTTGGAACTGCTTTGATGCAATGTGAATTGTATCTGAGCTACGGGAAAGAAAATAAATAATTAAAATAGAAAAAGAGGGAAGTAGAGAGAAGAGAGAGAAATGTTCTCCTCTAGAGTCAGATTTATTTGTTGTTTATTAATGAGACCACTCTACCATTGTTAATATGAAATAGCTGGAGGTAGCAATTTGTGTTATTGTGATGTCGTGTCAAGGTTGGGGTATTTGGATATATGGATCGACACGAACACGAAATGATTAATTAGTCGTGTCAAATTTTCAATCACGAATGCAACTTGTCGATTATATGTATAACAAACATGTTTAATTCTATAGTAAATGGCATGCATAATTCAAATTAACACAAAATCAACATAATTAACTTGTTTAAATTAAACAATAAATAGATTTAAATAGTAAAACAAACATTCAATACTCCATTATCTAAACAAATTCATAAAAACTATTCAATTTCAGATTATAGGAATTTTTTAGATAAGCAAGTCAATTCGAAATTGACATGCTTATCAATCATATTAATGAACACAATTAGGCTTCGTTCACTTTTCGGTAAATTATTTACTCAGGTAAATGTAATTACTTGGATAAGTTTTTCCTGGGAAACACTTATCCAGATAAGTGCATTTATCCATGTTTTTTTCTTTCCTAAGTAAATAAGGCAATGGCCATTTTAATCATAAAAATTCATTAGTAAAAAGGGCATTTTTGTCCCATTCAAGTATTGGCAATTTTCCCCCTATGTGGGAAAGTTATTTACCCATTTAGGAGATGGGTATCACTTTCCTAGTTTAGTGGTACATAGTAAAATAAACTTTCCCTGGTCCTCACATAAAACTGAAAAAAGAACATGTGAATCTTGGTCAATGAAAACCAAAATCCCATTAACCAACTTTCCCCCCTCTCAAAATCCAAAAAAAGAACACCCCATGCCCCCTTAAGGTAAACCCAGACCCACTAGCTTTTGTCATATTTTAGTTGTATTCATGCGTTATGTCAAATATTATTATTAGTCTAAAGAACGGCCACTTTAGTATACTAACAAACTCGTAATATTCTGATAAACATAATGTTAAATAAAATGACTCTACTACTAGGGGTGATCATTTTCAACCAAGCCCATAAAGTCAAGCCTAGCCCAAGCCTCCATCAGGCTTATAAATTCTAGGGTTATGATTAGGCCCAATTCTTCAGGCCTAGTCCAACCTGCACATCTATATAAATATTATAATATGACACCTATAATATAATACACATTATATATAATATTTTATATTATATAATGCCTAAAACAAATTTTATGCACATAATATATGACATATAATATAATATTATACACATTTAATATTTTATACATAAAAGCTATATGCCTGAACTGCATGGCCTGGCCTGTTCTGGCCCTTGGTAGTCAAAATTGTGTTTAGTTAAGATTCTTCTCCAAAACTATCTGAAGAGTTGGGTTGTTTTATTTTTATTTTTAAATGTTATACTCACTAGTCTCTAAAATATTGTAAACACCAAGATAGACATTTCATAATATGCTTCAGAGACAATTGGATACATTGTAAAGCTCAAAATAAATTCCAAAAGAATTATCATTAACACTAAATATAACTTATAGATGATTATAAATAAGCCATATACATATAAGAAGCATATACTTTAATGATTTATATGAAGTGTGAACAACACATTTGGTAAAAGTCCAAACGCGATGGAAGAACTAATATATGCATTTATTTATTTTAGTTCTCAAAAAATTCAATATAATTTACATTAATAATCATATATATATCTATATACATAAAGAGAGAGAGAAAGAGATTTTAATAATCAACTTTTAACATTCACTCATGACAAGCATTTGCTAAGAAAATAAATTAAAAGTTAAAATCAATAATCCATGTAATAATCATTTACCAAAAAAAGAAAAAAGAATCTATGCAACATGACAATTAATTGGAGCATGGTGTAGTGATGAACACAGTTCGAAGTATCAACACGTATCGGCTGATACGTATTGGGAGCACCCTGATATGAGCTTTCAGATGGTGTATGGTGTATTGTGGTTCTGACTGATTCAGAGAGTAGAGGAGCCTTAAACTGGCCCCCCTGAACCGGTTTTGAAAAAAAAAATATAAAAAAAAAAGGTCCCATACTGCCCGATACACCTCTACCGACATATCAGGAGTATCAATATTTAGAGCCTTGGTCATGAATTTGTTATATTTCAACCTAAGAGATCAAAGTTCGAGTCTTCTTACTTACTTGATAATGGATTTATTATATTTCAACTTAGGGGAATTTAATAACAATTTGATTGCTTTTTCCTTTTTGGTGAGCCAATTTCTAATTGCTTGGCTTAAGGGAGCAATATAGTCAACAAGCTTCATAACTCTTTCCTTTCTAGTAAAAAGATAGGCCCTATTACATTACTGGCATAAAATATTTAGATACATCACCCCCTGTTTCCAATATTGTTTCACACCTATTTAAACTTGATAGGTGTCCCTAAATTCAAACACATATTGTACCATACATGGCTCTTGCCTCCTTTTATGGTCTTATTAGTCTTTCTCTCTCTCTCTATATAAATATAAAAGCTCCCAAACTCATTATGACACCACACAGGCGCATTCATCATCACTCTTATTCATCTTTTCAACTTTTTTCAGAAATTGGTCCTTCTCCTTCCTTAACTCCGTCAACTCCTGGACAAGATTTCTGACTTCCCCGGCCGATTTTTGTCTGTCCATTTGTGCTTGTTTTATTGCTTTGGATAGTGCAACTTTTTCTTGTTTCAGTTCTTCTTGAAGCTGAGAAATTGTATCCTCGAACTTCTTCTCCAGCTGCATTATAAAGATAATTGTGAACAGGTGACATCCGGGGAAACTAACACAACCAAATGTGGGCAGATTACAATAAGATAAAAGGAACCACCTGATTAAATAAACTTTGGTTTGAAACAGACTAGCCAGTGGTAAAACTATGACTCAAGTTATCATTCCACTTTGTGTCATGTCGAAGTCTTACAATATTGAGATAAGATGGAATTTCTGCATGAAGGCCAGACTACACTTGACGCGAGGTTTTGAGCCTCGACTCGTGAAGCATGAGGGAAGGCAGATCAATATAAGACTCTTTACCAACAACCATGAATTAATTAGAGGTAAGTGTTGGGTGACATTCTTAGTTCAAAGTGGCACCCTACCTATATCTATATTATACAAACAATATTCCAGAGAGAGGTCCAAAAGAAGAAAGGAATCGTGGTGGTAGCAAATTCCAGTTTCCATTCTCCTTATTAATAAAAATGCTACTCCTTTTGAGTAAAAGGGTACATAGGGGGTGCAATTTGGCCTTCATCTGGTTATTGGGTTAAGATCAATTCTCCCCCAACTCAGTCAGTCAACCGATGTAGGTAATGACATAGATGCTTTTGTGATGGCTCATGAATATAGAGAGTACATGCGTAATAAGTAGCTGATGATGTTTTTGTCAAGGTTTGGGAGAATGAAGAACAATTTATCTCATGAAATTTATTTGCACTATAAATGCATGAGAGTGCAAATGAAGAAAGTGCCTGGTTAAAATATGTCAGAATTTACACTCAAATCATTTGGACTGTCATAGTTTTGCATCGGTTGTATTTGGTTGCAATGCAATTTTATTTCCACAAGTACAAATGCATGGGAGTGCAAATGAAAAGAATGTAAATTTTGGCTTAATTTTATTTTTGGCTTTACTTTATTCTGTTTCACGTTTTATTTTATTTCATTTTTACTGCGATCAGATAAAGTAAGGTAAATTTTGAAATAAAAATAAATCATAATTTGCACCAAAACCATTTGCACTACTGTGATTTCACATTTTCGCATCAGGGCAAATAAATTTGCATCGCAACCAAACACAGCCATCAGTACAAATTTGTTTGCATTGCAACCAAACACAGCCTTAGGCTCAGTTTGGAAGGAATACAAATAGAAATATGTACAGTACAAATACATACAAAATATAAGGTTTTGCGCTCTACATATTTGTATTTGTATTCCTTCCAAATGGAGCCTTAGAGAATAAATACCTATTATCACTTGAATAGGCGGCAGGATTCTCTGCAAGCGTGCAAAACTCTACACACACTTTGAAAGCATGGGATTCTAGCCGCACATTAGGCTCAGTTTGGAAGGAATGCAAATATAAATATGTACAATACAAATACATACAAAATAATAAAAAATGTAAGGCTTTGCACTACAATTTTGTATTTATACTTCTTCCAAACTGAGCCTTAGGAACAACTCCCCATGAATTTAACAAACATATACGGGAGATATTCCTAATTTGTGACTGGATGCTATGATCATAATAGAGGTTTTTTCTTGCTAGAAATCTAGGCTCTCTGAATAGGTATTTTTCTTCACCACCAATCAATCACGCCTGGTTGGTGTTGATGTTTCATTGAATGGCCTGTGTTGTTTCATGACAAGACAAAATGGAAGTCTTTCATGGAAAGTCTACTTCCCCTCTATGACTTCTATAATTATTAATGGTATTTTCATTATTTAATTATTTTCCTGTAATATTCTAATTATCTGCAAACCAATGAAGACTAAAGGATCAAAGATATGTACCATTTCAGTCACTTGTTTGAGTTGTTCCTCATATCCCTTCTGCATCTTCTCTTGCATCATTGATATCTCCTTTTCAGTTTTCCCTTTGGACGCAATTTCAAATTGCTTATGTTGCGAGGCAATTTCTTTCTGTCAAACAAACATTGCTTGCATAGTTGCATTATACAACTTTCATAGAATAACAATCAATTTCACAAATTAGGGCATTTCCATTTCATGTATAAATGCCACAACATCAGTACTACACAGGTGTTTTTTTGAGTTTAATAGTTAATTTTCTGTTTGGTTTTGAGTTAAAATCATAGTTTTCAAAACCGGACAAGAAAAATTGGGAACTAGTCACCTGACCGGTTCTGTTTTTCCCCAAAACCGTTGATTTTGGTCAGCAAACTGCTGAACCGGCCAGTTAACTGTTCGAATGGTTTTGACCGTTTTTCAATTTTTTTTATTTTTTTATTTTTTTATTTTTTTTGTTAGAACGAGCCGACCGTCTGGGTTTGACCCGATAACTGGACCCCTGACCGGTTCGGTCGTCGGGTGGGCTTTAAAAACCATGGTTAAAACAGTCATAAAACACTGCATAGAAATCTGTGCAAAGGATGTTTCAAGAAAGATCAATTTGATGTTTCTTGCTCCGAAAGGAAGAGTCTAATAGTTGTGGTGTTGATATAGATGCAAGAACATACATTTCTCATCAAAGTACAGGTAAGGGTGTCAATGGACCAGTTTTGGATTGGACCCAGTTCAGCCCAAAATCAATTTGGAAGGATTGGATGGACCGATAAGACATATTGGATTGAACCAATCTGGTCCAAAATATTTATTAGATTGGATTGGACCTGGTCTATCCGTAACAAATTTATATTGGATTGGGTTGGATTAAGCCAATATCTAGTCCATTGATATAAAATAACAATATATGTGTCAATGGACTGGCTTTGGGTTGAAACCAATTTCTATCAAAATGAATTTGAATAGATTGGACAGTCCAGACATTAAATTGGACCGGTCCAAATTGGTCCAATACATTCATTGGATTGGATTGTACCTGGTCCATTTATAAAAGACTCACATTGGACTGGATCAAATTGGACCAAATCCAGTCCAACTGGCACCCCTAAGTATAGGATTCAAATGCAGTCAGTGGTGGTTTTGGTGCTTCAAGTATAAATTGTGTTTGAACCCAAAGCATTGAGGGTTGCTACATCAATACCAAGCATAACCCTAATCCTTACCTGTAATTTAATAAAAAGTTCATTTGTATATGGCTGTCCTCCATTATCCTTAATGACCTTGTCTACAAGGGAAATCAATTTGCAAACTTGCAGTTCCCGCTTATTTGGATCATTAGTCTTGTTATCAAAAAGTGCCACTCGATTATTACATTGTTGAAGAATTTCCTGCATCAATTCAACAAACAATGAACATTTCGATATATTCAAATTAATATATTGTAATATTCTTCTTCCTCATTGTTGTGGTTGACATGTGTAAGAACATTTCTTTTAAGTTGATGATGATTGTAAAGGAGAACACAATTTGAGAATAAAGATATATAGATAGATAGATAGAGATAGATAGAGAGAGAGAAAGAGAATAATGGTATTTACACCAAAATATAAAAAGAAAACTCATTCCCAAAAAGGAGAATAAGATAGATACGGGTGCTCACGGTTCGGTTAATTGAACCATGGGCTTTTTTTTTAATCGAATCGGTACTACCGGTTTTTGGAAAATCGGTAACCGAAATCAACCGGTTAACCAGCTAATCAGTTCGGTTAACCGTCAGTTTGGTTTGTTAGTTTGTTGGTTTTTTTAATTTTTACAATATATATTATAAAAATATGTATAAAATACTATATTCTAAATAATAAATAATATATCATATATTATAAATATATATTTATATATAATGCATATTTATTAATTTATAATATATAAAAAATATAATATATATAATATACATAAATATATAGAAAATATATAGAAATATATGTATATCAGTCGATTCGGTTAACCGTCGGTTTTCTATATTGGTTAACCAAAACCAAACCAACCAATTTGATTTCAAAGTAAATGACTAGGGTGCAAGTCTCTTAACTTATATATGTTTTTTAAAATACATGCATAATAAAGTAATGTGTACAATAAATCGTCATTAATTAATACAAGTTAAGAATTTGATTTATATTAATTAAGTAATAAAGGAAAATAAGAGATTATGGGTTCAAATCGTATTAAATAATGCATTTTAAAATTTCAATTGGTTAAGGACCTGGGCGGTTTCATGAAACCTAGATCAGTTCACTGGTTTACTGATTAAACCGGTTGACCAATCAGTTTTCACCAGTTTTTTAACAAAAGCAGTTATTGGGGTAAAGCCGAATTAACCAAGGTCCCAAGTCACGATTCAACCGGTCCAACCGGTCGTTTCGGTCTGGTTTTTTAGCTTTTCCGCACATACACACCCACATATATTGATTCTAGATGTTAAGCATTACCTGCAAAGGCTTGGGACATTCATCCAAATATTCCTTGAGTCCCTCATCAGTGTCATCATCTAACATATCACCACCAGTAAAAACAATAATCACGTAATCTGTAATTGTATGTCCAAAGAGACCTTTTATGACTCGAACTGCAGCTTCTTCCTCTACTGTAAAACGGCTATTAATGGAAAAGACGAAAAGCATTGCATGGATCCCATTCTTTGCAAGATCAATACACTTAACAATCTCTTTTTCAATAATTTGAGCCCCAAGCGCAAAATCAAACATTCCTGCAAACACTTGTCAGTGTTAGGGTTCGAGTTTGAAAGGCAGCATAGATTACGTATATGTCTGGCATCGATGTTGCAGATGCAACATCGTTTTCTCAGAAAATGGTGCTACTGATATAGGTGGGTTAGAAGTACTGTTTTCTGAGAAAACGGTGCCTTTTTTATATTTGAAATCGTTACTGTCAGGTAGGACGTTTCCTGGATCAACAACTTTTTTTGTTTGATAGGCACCAATGCTCCACGAAATGTTTTCTGCACTGTTACCTATTATCCAGTGCCACATCACTGCCTTATTGGCAACAACGAGCTGCAGCTAGTTCCAGGAAACGTCAAATTTGGCATTGCTCCAAGCCATGCTTCCCGATTTCCAAGGCATGGCTTGGAGTACCGTTTTCTATAGAAAAATGGTTCCAAACAAATGGCTATTTCCGGGAACACCATTTTTTCCGATGTAACACTGATGTAGCGCCGTTTTCTAGAGCAACAGCAACGATTCCAAACAGACGCTAAGAATGTGAAATGAGTAAATTAATTAAACAACTACTAATCACTCCAATTAATCCTATTAGCAACTAAATTAAAGCAGAGTAGAAAATGACTAATCAACCAAAGTAGCTCCACCAGGTGTGTCAATGACATTCACAGTGCGGCCATCTTGAAGAACAGATGTGTTCATCTGAGTAGTCTTTGTAACTGAATTAGAACTTCGTTTCGATCTGAAGGCATTCTTTTTAAGAATGCAATTGCCAGTTGCACTTTTTCCATTACCAGTACGCCCAAGTAAAACTATGGTAATATTGTTGGGTGAGGCGGCCATTATGGAGATATATACAAAATTATCTGCAAAAAACAGTAGAAAAATGAATTCAATGTACGTAAAAACTAGCTAATATGGAGTTTTAGCAAATGCATGCTTTAATTAAATTTCAATGAATTCTATGTACATCACCCTTTATACTAGAATTCAGTTGGACTAGAAGATGATATTAAACTCTAAATAAATAAAGAATACAGCTGTAGTCTTTGAATTAATTAGAATATAAAGTGTGATATATATTTTGGTAGGCACCGACCTCTATGTCAATAGAAGAGGACCAAGTATTCTTCCATGACATATATAGATTGTGTTTGAATTGGTGTAAATTAAGAATGATGTAAGCATTTACATCAGTTTGGTTTTATCCGTGTTTGAAAAGAGTGTGTAATAATGATTGACATAAAACTCTACTCCAGTTTAGTTTTTCGTGTGTTTGGATGGAGTGGAGTTTTACATTGTAAATCAATATAAAATCTCATTATATATAAAGTTTTGCATCGATTATCGATGTAGTATATGTAAAACTTTATACCGATTGCATCGCATTTTTCAAAAAAATATAATGGTCACTTATAACAGTTTAGTGTAAAAATTTATTGGTATACTTTTACACTGATGATGCTTTACACTAATTCCAAACACAGACATAAACTCTCAACAAGCAATGCAAACGATGCAATCAAAAGTCTACAACCATCAGACCTCTAAATAGGGATTCAATGGCAAAGAAGAAGAAGAAACAAAGAAACAAAGAAATAGAGAAACTTTCAGCATCATAAAGGAAAATTCATCATCTTGGCTTAAGCATAAGAGAAATAACAAACCTGATGACTGTAAGTTGAGAAACTATGCAATGATTTTCAGGAAGGATGGAAGACTTTAATTTAGAAATGAGAGGGTTGTGTTAATTGATTTAAATGTTTAGACATGATTCAAATTTATAAGGGGTAGTGGATGTTCACTCAGGCGTGACTGGAGTATTGATTCCATTGCATTATTATTTGGATGCTAACTGCTAGACTCTATATTTGGATGAGGATAAGAATCAACTTTTTTTTTTTCTGATGGCATATATTCGATGGAAAAGTTAGGGTTGCAATGGATTGAATTTAAATGCGATTTGTTTAGTCGGATTGGATATCCATTTAGCCATGATATTGGAATAGAGTTCGACTATGATATGGAAAAGATATGATATCTGAAAAGCATTTGACCAATAAATTGGAATTATAAAGGTAAAAGCCAATTAGGTGTTATTTATCAAAATTCATGGGTGGGGGCTTTGATTGGTCAAAGCTCTTTTCATACCATATCTTTTCTGCATCATAGATTTTCCCATTGAAATATCCATCTATCTATTTATATATATTTCAGAGAAGTACAAATAGGCCTAATGCAGATTTCTGATTTTCACTGCAGAGCTATAAACATTCAAAATGTCAAAAATTCCGTGCTGGCACCCACCCCAACTGTAATTTAGGCCTAAAAATTCTGACCCTGGGCTGTGAAACGTCATTCTCCCTATGGGAAAATCCAAAACTTGATTAAACCACTCTGCCTCTAAAGAGATGAAGAATTAACATTAATTCAGTGAATTCAAAAAATTTATGATAATTAAATGCAATTAATAATAAACAGTAAATTTATGATTGGTAATTCAATGCAGTAAACTAACAGTAAATTAATTAACAGTAAAAATCAGAAATACAATGATTTTGAATGCAGTGGTTTTAATTAATAGTAAAATCTCCGATAACTAAATATGGTAAATTAACAATAAATTAATTAATAGTAAAATTGGAAGTAAAATGATTGGAAATTTAATTTATTTATTGTTAATCTATACTATAATTCACATTAATTTTGGAATTTTTTGATAAGTAAATGCATTAAATTGAAGTTAGAATTACTGTTAAATTAATTATTCAACGATCAAAATACTGTTAAATCTCAATAGTACTTTTAAATTAAATTCATTACTACAATTACTAAAAAACATTAATTCACTAAATTTCTGTTAAACTAATTAACATTAGCTAAATTAATATTTAGTAAAATCAGATAATTAAATGTTGAGGATGTGGGCTCCATGATCGAAGAGGCCAACCCATAAGTAGAATCTGATAATCAAATGATGAGTAATAGGTCCCGTGAGCCAACCCGCCGACCCAACATTCTCAATTTTATCAATCAGTATACGTTAGTTAACATTAAGGTCATTTATTAGAACAACCTTTATTGTTTTGCAGATTTACTTAAATCAGTCTTATATTACTATAACACCCCCCTTATAGTTTGCAACTTATTTAGTTAATTGTCCTTTAAAAACTATTTATTTTGCTAGTAACATGATACATAAATCAAGTGGAAAATGTTTAAGGGCATAGATTTATGGTTGTTTATTTCAAAAGTACCTTTAACATTTTTTGGTATAAAAAACAAATACTGACCAAATAGAGAAAATAGAGCTGTTGTTTATGTTTTATTAGGGGCAAAATGGGCATTTTTGTTTTTCTGTTTCTTTTGATTAAATTTACGGAAAAGTATGAACAGGCTTAATGCAGATTTCTGATTTCCATTGTAGAGCTATAAACATTCAAAATGTCAACAACCCACACTCTATGCACCAACGCCCGCCTGTGAATTGGCATCAATTCCGAGCTGACACCTATCCCAACAATAGTTTGGGCCTATAAATTCTGACCTTGGGCTTAAATTTATTTGAATGGATGTTAGTGTTAAAACTGTTATTTTTCACTTTCATCTAATGAAATGTCGATTAAGTAAGTTGATTGCAAACTATAGAGGATGTTTTAGTAAAACACAAACTATAGGGTAAGTTTTAGTAAATTCATGAAACCATAGGGGGTGTTTTAGTAAATGACCCTAACATTAACTACATTTACCGATTGTAAGTGCATTTTGTTTACCACGACTACAATAGAACAGAAGGCGCTAAACCGATGCTGCGAAGACACCTGTGACGAGTTCACAACTCGTCATAGATTTGCAATGAACTCAGATCTTGCACAAACTTGTAATGAGCTCATAGCTTGCACAAGCTTGCGATGAGCTCAAAGCCTGTACGAGCTTGCGATGAGCTCAGAATCACCACAAATATGCAAAAGATTCAAATCTATGGTATCAAAGATGAACTCAAAGTCGCTAGGGATCTGCAATGAGCACAAGGCCATCGCGAGCCTACGATGAGCTCAGAGCCATTGCAAACATGTGATGAGCTCAGAGCCATCGCGAACGTGCAATGATCTCACACCCAACGCAAATCAGTGACGAATGAAGAAACACGAAGACTGACCGATGTCACTCGTGACCGAATGCACAATAGGATTAAGAGAGGCACGTAAGACTAGCATTGACATCATCCATAACACATCAGTTTAAGAGACTCGCAAAAGGAAGTAGCATATGTGTATTATGAGAAACCCAAGACGAAAGGAAACCTCATTCTAGAGAGATCTCATAAGACACGTGGCAAAACCTTAACAGTGTCCCCTTGACAACTGACACCGAATCGAAGATCTTCTTTCCAAGTGGGAATCAAACTCTTTCGGCTCCTTCCTTTCAGGACCTCGAGATCTATCCCTATAAAAGGAGGCCCAATTCATAACAAATGGGACATTCTATCAGTCTGAGCCTTTAGCCTACCCTTTGCATACCCTCTGCCTTCCTTCGTCTTTGAAGGAAACCACCGCAAGTAGCCTTAACACACCACCCACACTGATAAATTCACCCTACCTACTGACTCGATTGGAAGATCATAGTAACATGGCAGGGTCAATGGAAGAGTTGTATTGTTATCCAATTGATTAAGGGTGAATACATGATTTATTCAAGTAAAAATTGAATCAAATATATATATATATATACATATATAATGATAGGCCAAATGAAAGGAGAATGAAAAAGAAAAAATGTTATTTGGTGTTTTAGCATACAGAGTTTCTGTGCTTTTAATGTGAATCACTTAAATATTATTCCCATTGTGTGTATTGCTACTCCCTTCATAGAGTTGGCCTGAAGTTCGTAAGCACTCTCCATAATACAACATATTTAGGCCCTATTCATTTTTTGGTAAGTTATTCGGGTAAATACAATTACCTTGGTAAGTTTTTTCTAGGAAATACTTACCCGGGTAAGTGTATTTATCCATGTTTTTTTGTTGCTCACATAAATAAGGTAATGACCATTTTAGTCATAAAATCCATTATTAAAAGGGAGATTTTTGTCCCAGTCAAGTATTGGCAACTTTCCTCATAGGTGGAAAAGTTATTTACCCACATAGGAGATGGGTATCATTTACTAGGAAAATAAAGTTTCCCTGATCCCCACTTCAATCTTAAAAATGAACATGGTATTCTTGATCAATGAGAACCAAAATATCATTGACCAACTTTCTCGCCTCTCAAAATCCAAAAATAGAACGGCCCCTTAGAATAAAGTCACAAATCCATTCGATCCATTTGGTAGGACCCGCCATTGTGTCAAGATAAGTTTGGAGATTGATTGGGTGATTTAGGAGAGAATAATGAGTTTTTTTTTTTTTTGTTGATACGGTTGCCTTCTTCATGGAAAAGTGGAGAAGAGAATATATGTGATTGGAAAATACAATTTCGACATGAAATCTGGTTGAGGTAAGAGTATGAGAAAAATCCTAACATTAACCGAACTCGACACTTTTTTTCATTCAGAAATTATTCGATTTAATGGTGCCACTCGTAAACTTTAAATATACTTAAATACTGAATTAATGTAGGAAATGTGTAAATAAGCTTTGAATTCTTCAAATCATTATGTGAAGCATCTGGTTGCTTTACCTTCTCGAGAGCATATATTCACACCTACTTGCTATAAAAATCTCATTTAATTTTGATGCCCAAATTATTCACATTATACTCTATCCTTTACCTTTCTGTTTTTTCCAAATGAATAGAATATTTTCTTTCCATCTCTCCCAAATAAATTAACTGGAATCTATTCTTTTATGTTTATGCAAATGGAATCCTGTTTTCTACACACTTTCTCAACCACAACAAACATTGGACCCCAACAGTGTTTTGAATCAATCCATATAGAAAGGAGTGCAATTTGGGTTGGTCTGCCCTGAATATTGGGTTTAGGATTAGAGTTGGAAAATGCTAATCCAACAAAGTCTTTTTATGTCTGGCTGAGATAGGGTTCACAATTATATATTCATGGGTACATAAATTACTTAAAACTCCCATATGTGGTTCTTGACAACAGTTTTAGGCCATATTTGGTTGATTTCTTTAGGTATCATTCTTTTAATTCTTGTTCATTCTGAACAAAAATGAATGATATTAGAGCATTTGGTTATAAAAATCATGCCATAGGCCTCATTCTTTTTAGAATGAAAAATCAGCCCATAGTGCAAAATTTGTGGTTGTGTGCAGTGTGAAAAATAATCATCCCCATCTTGTTTATTTTCATTCTTTGAAGAAACTCTATGCCTACAAAATCGCTGCCATAAATGTTTACTAGCAGACTACAATGGAAACTTAGTTTAGTAGACATTAACTGCCAGCCATTCAGCGGTAAATACTATGCCAACAGTTAGAAGACCTAGGTTGGCAGTTTTATAATCGCTGGTATAGAGTTTTTCGAAGAATGAAAATGAGTAACATAGGGCACTTGTCAGTCTGAAAAGAATTCATTTTTAGGAAAAAATGTTTGGTTTATAATACTATTTTCTCATTATACACATTTGTACCCATTCTTGTCCATTGTAAAATTTTATCTTGGGTTAGAATGGAAAAGAATGAAAATTGAACCAAACAAGGCCTAACCTCCTTTGAACTTTGTTTTTGTTTTCTGGTACAAGATAGAACAACAAAAGGCTACAACAACAGGGTGTAGC